ACCAACTCACCTATTAGGAACATACAAGGGAGAACCTGATGAGTTGCAAATCTGAGAAATAATTTTAATTACGGCATTATCGTTGGTGTCAATACTCAATGGTGACTTCAGTCTCTGTCTAAGAACTTTTTCGAAATCTCCGACAATACGAGACTCCAGCGCACCCACAAAAGATGTAGCCTTAAACGACCATTCTTGAGGAAAATTGAGAATTTTTTGTTCGACTGTATCCACCAATTTTTTGTATATATCAGTCCTTCTTTGAAGAACAAAGGAAATAGCGGAAAGTTGTTGATAAAGAAAGATCACAGGATTTGCTGTGTTTTTTTGATTCGTGACCGCAGACATTATGGTCGAATACCATTCCTCGCAAAGAGTTGAAATTTTTGTTCTAAAGTCAGCTTTGACATTTCTAGACTCCAATGCGAACTTCGACCATTTTGGAAATGACAGTAGTAAATCAACATTTCTTGACTTCGAAAGTAACACCAACACTTTCATGATATCTAACTCCGCTGTGAATAATTGAGAAAAAAGATGAAACATCGACTCCAAATACTCGGATTTCCATGAGATTCTATTGTTGCTCAATAATTTTGAAAATTGTTCGCAAAAAACAGGGGCACATTCAACGCGAAGGTCTTCGGATAGAGATTTAAAATGCCGTTCCAAATTTCGTGGATCATCCGAGTCTATATATTGACTGATAAATTTGTCGATGGAACGTTTAATCCGTTCGTTCATCCTTTCTTTTCCAATCATTTCACGCACCAAGAAATCACATGATTCCATGTCAAAAAAAGAAATTTCAATTATTTTCTGAGCGGTTCAATGGACGGATTAGTATCTACATAAAACGCGCAATGCAAACGACAACTATCGAATGGCTGCTTACCTCTATGGCCGTTTGATAAGTTTGTGGTCTGTCTTCAATTCTGTCGAGATACGGCTTTACGTTTCTTTTGAGCAAATTATAAAAATTTAAGACTTGGTTTCTTTGATCATAATTGTGTTTTTCAATATTAACCAAGAATGTATACGACGGATCGACAACAGGCGCTATAGCAAACATTTTCATCCAATCGAATACATTGCGCTTTGATGAATTGTGTCGAACC